AATCATCGCTACAAGACGCCCAAGATGGGCCCCAGACGGCCCTAAAGGCGCCAAGACTCTCCAACAGGCCTCCAACAGGCTTGCGAAGAGAGGCCCGCGAGGCCAAAATCGTCCATTCCTATGGGAAAACACACATTGTTTGCATGCGCGACCCTTCGGCATTCACTGCGTGGAAAACTGCCCACGAGGCCGCCAAGACCGCCACAGGAGGGCCCAAGAAGTTCCCAAGAGGGCCCCACGACGGCCCAAGAGGGCGCCAAGACGGCCCAAAAGGCGCCCAAGAGGGCCCAAGAGAGCCCCAAGAGGAGCCCCAGAAGGGGGAGCCCGAAGCGGAAATCCGAGCCTTCTGCCTCGAGACGCTCCCGGCAGGGCCCAATATGTCCCCAAGAGGACCCAAAAAGGCCCCAAGAAGCCCCAAGCCCCCTAGAAGCCCAAAAGAAGCTCCAAAACGGCAGCCAAAAAGCGCCCAAACTGCCTCCAAGAGGCCCGCGAACCACAGAGACGTCAACATCGTCGAAGCCCGCTAGGGCAACGTATTCTGTAGCATAATGGCTCTTCGGCCATCGCGGCGTTGACGACCGCCCACGAGGCCCCAAACACCGCCCCAAGACGGCCCAGGAAACTCTCAAGGGGCCCCCAAGTCAAACCAACAGCGCTCCTCAATCCTCGCGCCCCCCGCCCTTTCCTGCCCCGCCCCCCCCGCCCCCAACATCCGTGCGCTGTCTCAAGCGCTTCCGTGGATCTCACGCGCGCGCCTTGCACTTCAACGCGCGTCTTTCCAGGGCGCGCGCGAAATGCGGTTTAACCGTGAACTTCGACTTCGGGAGCTTTGCAGGCGCCGAAGCACTCGTGCGCTCCCGTACTGCGAGCCGCGAAGCCGACTGCAATGCACTCCGCGCGTACAACCTACTCTTCCTTCCCTGAAAAATTTATCCCGGCAAAGCAACCTAACAGCGATATGTAGAAGCATATCTGAAAGCATTCCCCTTAAGATTCAGATGAAAATCCAGTTGTAGAATTCTGCTGTTCTCGCAGTCGTAGTCGCATTCGCGATGACAGTCGCAGCGGCAACGGCAGTCGCAGTCACAGCCTCAGCCTCAGCCTGCCTCACCCTCAGCCCCAGTCTGCCTCAGCCTCAGCCTGCCTCAGCCTCAGCCTCAGTCCGCCTGCAGCCTCAGCCTCAGTCTGCCTTCAGCCTCGGCGTCAGCCTCAGGCTGCCTTAGCCTCAGCCTGCAATCAGCCTCAGCCTCACCTGTCTCAGCATCAGCCAGCCTCAGCCTCAGACTCACCTAGCCTCAGCATTCAAAATGTGGCCCGGGAATGTAGTTCTTGAACTCGAGAAGAACACCAAAAAAAAAAAATGCCTACAGTTGGCTCCGTGCATTCAAATTCATCGCCAGGAATTGGAGTTCTGGGAGACTCGAACCACGAAGTGGCCTACAGTTGGCTCCGGCCATCCAAAATCTGGCCCGGGAATTGGCCTACATGTTGGCTCCGTGGGCAATTCAAATTGCATGCCCAGCGAATGCAATTCTGGGAACTCGAAGCCACAAAATGGCCTACATTTGGCTCCGTGGGCATTCAAAATGTGGCCCGGGAATGAAGTTCTGGGAACTCGAAGAGCACGAAGTGGCCTACAGTTGGCTCCGGGCATTCAAAATGTGGCCCGGGAAAGGAGTTCTGGGAACTCGAAGAGCACGAAGTGGCCTACAGTTGGCTCCGGGCATTCAAAATGTGGCCCGGGAATGGAGTTCTGGGGACTCGAAGACCACGAAGTGGCCTACAGTTGGCTCCGGGCATTCAAAATGTGGCCCGGGAATGGAGTTCTGGGAAGTCGAAGAGCACGAAGTGGCCTACAGTTGGCTCCGGGCATTCAGAATGTGGCCCGGGAATGAAGTTCTGGGAGGTCGAAGAGCACGAAGTGTGTGACTGTATGCGAAAAACGATTCCGGCCGGCAAACCCCAACACCCCCCCAACGGCTGCCCAGACCCCCCTGTGGAGTCATCTGCTGCTCTCTTTTTACACTACTAGAAACCTATCAGTCTTCGCTGTTAGGTAATATTCGCTCCCTTGTCTAGCGCTTGCGCGCCGCTGCCGAGCGAACTCTTTCTTGCGCGCTGCACGCGACAGCGGTCGCTTCAACAGTTTAGACTCATCGGCCACACCTTTCGCGGTTATGCCCCGCTTATCACAGCTTCCGCACACCACCCTTGCTCCTTTCTTGGTCCGGTGGTCCTTCACTTGATTGCGACTCAAATGGCCGACCTCCTAGAAGGACACCCCGCAACTGGGCGCGCGGCACGTCAGCGGCCCCGCTTCCGCCTCTGCTTTCCGTTTGCGGCTGTTCGCTTCTCGTGTCAACGTGTCCCGCGCCTCTGCGCATTTCCGACACAGTCTCTCCCCTGCTTCGCTGTGCTTCTTCTGAGCTTCCGACATGTCCGCCCTTTCTTCGAAAAGGGAGAGACACTTGTCGTTCGAACGCCGCACTTTGCCGACACT